TGTTTAGTCGCGTCTATGGGTTCTAAAGGCGTTGCCCCTGGTAACCGATAGCGTCTCCTGCCATCATGGCCAACCGGCTCAGACCCCGCCCAAATCGGCACGTGCCTACCTCATTCATACCAGATTCATTCTGTTATACTTCAAACTACTGATGTCACGGGCAGGAAGCAGGCAAGGAAGCAGGATCAACATGCAGCAGTTTTATTAAACAAACTAGAATAACCTTTATAGGACAGGATACTGAGGAAACATAAACAGAACAACCAAGCATGAAACGACAACGACAGACAAGAAACAGACTGAAACACAGGACTTAAATACACAAGGAACAGATCGATGAAACAGGACACAGCTGGGGCAAATTAACTGATAATGACAGGTAAACAGGTGAATGAACTAAACAGTAACGAGGAGCGGGAAAATAGAAACAGGACTGAACCAAATACACAAAGAATGGGAGAAACACAGGACACAACTGAACTATATAACTCTTTTTATCATCACATGATAATGGATAAGTTAAGGTATACCAGTTAAACTAGTAAAATGGGTGAAGGGTGGCTGCACAGAGATGATCTGAATTATGCTTTATTTATGTGTTAAAGGCACCTTTATTTATATAGTGCCTTTTACAATACAGATTGTTCCAAAGCAGCTTTACAGCGATAACAGGACAATAATGCAACAAAGTTTGTTTCTGTTGTACAGTAGATCTAGAAGAAAGTCATTGTCCAGCTTAAAGGGTTAGTTCACCCAAAAATGAAAATTAAGTCATTAATTACTCACCCCCATGCTGTACCAACCCCGTAAGACCTTCGTTCGTCTTCGGAACACAAATGAAGATATTTTTGATTAAATTTGAGAGCTGTATAACTACCACATTGGCTGCCTAAGGGACTGCCTCTTGACGGCCCAGAAAGTCAATGAAGAAAATGTTTAAATATCCCAAGTGACTACCGTGGCTCAACTACAGTATATGTTTATCAAGCGACGCGAATACTTTTTGTGCGAAAAAACAAACAAAAATAACGAGTTTATTCGACTATTTCTTTTCTTCCTTGTAGGCCAGAACGAGACTTCCTTAGATTTCCACGACGCATGCGCGAGATTTGCGATCTGCTTACACCAGCTTACACTACTTCAGCAGATCGCAAATCTCGCGCATGCGTCGTGGAAATCTAAGGAAGTCTCGTTCATTTTTGGAGTACTTTGTGTAAGAACCAAGCGGCAACCTCCTCGTCTCTCTCTTGAAGCCAACACGGAAGTGAATTAAACTGCAATTTATCGAGTGGCCGCTTGAGGCAGGCTGCAGAAGCGAGTCAAATCTGTATCTCCCCCATGTTAAAATGCCCAACTTTACAGCAGAAAAAAACATGTTTACAGCCTGGAGCAAAAAGTGGCTTTGGTCTATAGACCTCATTTTTCCCTTCATGACAACTGTGAGGGGGGTGAATTTTTTTACAACTCATCTGTTTAAATTATATTTAAAGAGTAACTAAACACTAAACCAACTTTTTTTAGTTAATGATCTGTAAGAATTGATCTTTATTAAAACCAGTCATTGATTCGAATAACTTTTTTGACATTTGTTTATAAAGTGTTTTATTTCTACAATATATGGTGTAAAACGTCTCAGTGCTGCCCTCTTCAGGTTGAACAGTGGCTACTGCATTTGAATTTTCCTATTGGATGTTCCGCACTTCGTGATGTACGCAGGTTTCAGCTCACCACGTGAGCTACGCCCTTGGCAGTATAAAAACTATCTTGTGTCATCAAAACCGCTGTAGGGAGTCAGTAATTGGAATTGTGAGTATTGAAAACGATCAGAATAGAGTGTTTTAGCATCTATTTCGTCCCCTCTATCTCCGCTGGGGTCAGCCCACTTTTTCAGCATTTTCAAATATTGCCAGTGGGTGGAGTCAGGCTCTGACCAGGGGTTTAGTTACCCTTTAAGCCTTAAAGTTCTGCATAATTAAGGGCGTGGCCACTTGAGTGACAGGTGGATTCTTGCTGCCGCGTTCACTCACTGTCGTTTGTCTGCTGTCTGTTAGCGTCACCCTCAGCTGTGTTTGTGCTTTACCGGGATTATTTCATACAGTTTAATACATGTATTATACCTTCGCCCGTGCACGCCGTTGGATTCCGTCATGTTGAGTATGGAGAGAACAACCAGCGCCGTGTTTCCAGCTGTTTCCCTCGCATGCCATGCACTAATGGATGTCTGATGATTTCAGCGCGTTCTCTCCGTCCATGCAATAGATGCACACCCTTGAATGAGCGCGGATTTCTAGTTCATTTACTTGAAGTTCTGAGGTAATATTTGGTTTGACCCATCTGAGAAACTGAGAGGCGGCCAAAATCAGATTGTAAAATGGACTGAATTAAAGCTCTTTACGAACTTGACGTGAGATGCCGACTGACATGTGCTTGCCTTGAATCACTGTCGCATGCACAAGCTTATACATTTTAACTAGCAGAATAATAATGCATCACAATGCACATAGGGGACTGCTTGTATGTTGTGAGAAATGTGTGTGATCTGTGTTAATGTACTTGAGTTGTATATGCTCTTAACTAATTGCCCCTTGTGAGATTAATAAAGTTGATAAAAAAAAGTTAAGTAGTCTCACTTTTAGTTACGTCTTAACTATTATAATATTTCGAAGGGCAAAACATGAACTTTAACCATTGGCTTTACTTTTTCAATCAGCTGTCAATTCAGCGACAGTAGCATAGCATTAGCACCTCAGCTCCACCCGCGTCCCGCCTCTTTGCCCATTTTAATTTATCCGGTAGTGACGAGAGGTGACGCACTGCCAAGATGGCGACGGTCGGCCCCGCCCACTTTAGGCCTCAAAATCGCTCTTCAGAAACCTATGGGTGACGTCACGGACACTACGTCCATATTTTTTTACAGTCTATGGTAAGAAGAACATAGCAAAATTATTAAGCTTTTAGTTGGTTTAAAATATATGAACTTTATAAACACTTAGGCCTACTGCAATATATTTTTAAAATGTATGTATTCACCACTTTAATATTTAATATTATATAGGCCTATATATATATATATATATATATATATATGAAGAGTTCAGATGCAAAAGCCTCTAAGTGCCATTTGAAATTTTCTTCTAAAATGATCATTTTTATCAAGCTTGTATATTTAAGTTCATTAATTTCACTTAAATGGCAATGAAGATTACCTATTAATTGTCATTTAAGTGAAATTACTGAACTTAAATATACAAGCTTGATAAAAATGACCGTTCTAGAAGAAAATTTCAAATGGCATTTAGAGGCTTTTGCATCTGAACTCTTCATATATAACAATGCATATCTTGAATATCTACAATGATTAGATTTTAAGTCTAAATTTACATTTTAAACATATATAGAGCGATCGTCTCTAGTTTAGAGGACTAGGAGGAAACCACGCGATTCATATGGATTAGGTGATATTTTTTTGTGATTCACTTTTTGAAACGTAGCGTTTTGAGAAACAGTTTTGATTTTACCCAGCTTCTTCAAGTTTGCATGGCGTGTGACATTTGGAACCTCATTAGGTTGTGATTCTAGGTAAGATTTGTATTACATTAACATTACTTGTCTTTGCCACTAGTATTTTTGACACAAAGTGTAACAGTATGTCTTTTTCATTTCAGCTACTTTAAATTTGACCAATCAGAGCCAAGATTTTCAAGTTGAAGTCGAAGCAGACTCGAAGAGAAGTTACTGGTAAGCTTTTCAAATAGAATTTCTAACCTCTCATTTTTGACTATTCATAAAATAAAATTTTCAAAATATGCAAAAGACGCGATATGTGAGCAGGCCCTAATAGTATTGTTTTGTCACGAATGCGCTATATCGCCCCAGTAACAAATGAGCAGAGCTAGAGGTAAACTGGACTGTAGCCTTCACCTTGCTAATGAATATATATATATATATATATATATATATATATATATATATATATATATATATATATATATATATATATATATATATATATATTTTTTTTTTTTTTTTTTTTTTTTTTTGAGAAACACTGACCTTGTCCAGTAGACCTGTTTAACAGAATGCGGAAGTAAGTTGTGCATAGAGCCTATTGTAATGCATATACTGTATTATACTGTTGCAGTCCGCACTTCCGACTTTGCTCTGTATGTAGGCAGCGATGTATGGATATGATGATGCCTGATATGAACTGGGTTGCTACATTAACTGAATGAATATACAGTCGCGTAACTTTGTTTTACAAAGTGGGTGGGACAGGTCAGGTGTGTGCGTGCGCGTGTGTGCATATGTGTAAAAAAAGAATGAATCACGTGAATAAATACATACTACAATTTGATTCGAACCCGTTCATCAAAATGAACGAATCTTTTTCCGAGTCATTTGGTTCATTCAAGGAACGAAACGAACGAACTGACTCGGGAAAAGATTTGTTCATTTTGATGAACGAGTTCGAACAGGAGAGTCACGAACGTGCATCACAGTACAGAGCAAGGCAACCATGAGCTTATAAAACTTAAACTTTGTTTTTTTTTTTCTAAAAGAGCGATCGTTTCGCTTGATAAGACCCTTATTTATCGTCTGGAATCGTTTAAAGCCCTTTGAACAGTTTGCAGTTTGTACTGAAAGTGTTTTTTTTGTTTTGTTTTGTTTTTACCTTGAACCGTTTGGACCCCATTGAAGTCCATTATATGGAGAAAAATCCTGGAATGTTTTCATCAAAAACCTTAATTTCTTTTCGACTGAAGAAAGAAAGACATGGACATCTTGGGTGACATGAGGTGAGTAAATTATCAGCAAAAGTTTTTTTTAAAAGTGAACTACTCCTTTAACAGCACTAAAAATTATTAAAAATCTTTTGATGTTCCTTTGCAACAATCAGAGAGACGATACAGCTCTGTCTATCGGTATCTTCACTATTATTAGACATATTGAAATGCAAAATTACAGCATTACACCATGAAGGACATATTGAAATGCAAAATTACAGCATTACACCATGAAGGGGAGATTTGCCGGTCAGTGAGTGACAGCAACGCCTGCTGGCGGACATGCCCAGCACTTGGAAATGCCCCGAGCAACGTCATTTCGAAAGTGAATGTAAAAATGTAGCCAGTACATCATAGACAGAATAAGAGCCAGTAGCCTATAAAGCAATGTGAACTGTAGAGTGAGTCAGAGAGTGAATAAACTCACACACACACGCTGCAGACACAGAGGTGAGCAATAAGTCTCTAAAGAGGACAATCCTTTATATTTACACCTAATCCACAGGAAAATATTCAGCACATGCATGGTATCTTTGAACTATGTGATTTGCACATTTTGCTGATTTTTCAATATGTCTTTTAAATAGCCGATAGAAAACAGTTTTTCTGCGTGTTTGTGATAGGCTAATTTTGTCTGATTTAATGTTGTATATTTGTATTCGCTTACCGCCAGTGAAGACAATGCAAAATAACTTCATCACGTTTAATCTCTGTAGATTCAGCAGCAATATTATAATGAATGCATGCGTTTCGTTGTGTTGTCTGCTTTATTGTAAAATACATTGTGGTTTTGTGGCTGTGGTTTTACACTCGTGACGAGTCTCTTCAACACCTCTATTAATGCATGATTCATTATGTTGTGTGAAACCTCACAAAATGATTTCATTAAATTCTGACTTCTCTACTGAGCATGCAGTAAATCATATCTACTGATATCTGGCACTTATTAGACCTAGTTGTTCAAGTTTCAAGTCTTATGCAACTTTCTGTTGTTTTTTTCTTTATTGCAGAATGAAAACCATGAGTGCTGTAAATGCAGTTCAACTATTTTTTCTGGTTTGGACTTTTTCTGCTGTCTGTCGAGCTGACGGTAAGAGAATTGAGGAGGGAATAAATCTAAGACAATAATAATAATAATACAAAGGTTAAATCTTGTGTTTCTCAACTGACTCTATCTGATGCACATTAGTGAAAGAAACAGTCAGGATGTTGCATGCAGAGACTGTGTATATATTACTATTGAATATATAAGCTATAATTAATTTTAAATAATACAATATATGGCAAAAAGATTAGGTTCTCTAATGAAAGAGTCACTGTGTGTTTATTATATTGACATGGACACAGACTCATAAAGTCTGATATATTAAAAGTTTACTGAGAAAAACAAAAACAAAAAAACATATTTATTATTGTTCAGTTGCTGTATTATATATGATATGCATTGTTATTTTTCAGATGACATCAGTGTAAACTGTGAGGATGTGACTGGAACTGTGAGTGAAGAAGTAACTTTAACCTGCAGCGTCTCTCTGAAGAAGTCTGGATGCTGCTTTACAGTGTATAAGTTTCTATATCCTGAGAGATATAATGACCCAACAATCTGTAAAGAGTTTCCTCAGGACTCATGTGAACAGAGAAACAGCTTCACATGCAGATTCACTCCAACTACAGCAATGAAGGAACAATTCAGATTCTTCATCCAACCAGTGTGTGGGGGAAAAACTACACAATTCACTGTGAACATAACAGGTACAGTGTTTAATACTGCTATAATTCAATATATGTTTGCAACTGTACTTTATTTCCAATCTACTAACAGTGGTTTAAAATCTGTTAACAGAGACCAGTAAACATGAACCTGTCACTAATATATTACATTGATTATGGTGTTACTTTTGGAACTCATAAAACTGCTCTTTAGTCTCTTGTCAGAATATTAATCATTTTAAAAGTCACCTGAGAATAAATTATTATAAGTTTAAGGTCTGAAAAGGAAACTGATGTATGATCATGGTCTCCAAAAAGATGAATCTCTCTATTTCAATCAGAGTGATTTTAGAGTTGTTTAGATTTGGTCTGTGTGTGTGTGTGTGTGTGTGTGTGTGTCAAGAAATCAGTTTGGTCAGATTCTCAGCAGCAGAAGTGTTTTGTAAAGTTTGTGTGGTGAATCTGACTGTCTAATGTTTGATAGGCTAAAGTTGGAGTTTATGACTTAAACACATTTTTAAAACGCACTTTTTTAGATACAAAACCGGAGAATAAAGGCAATCAGGCAAATTGGGCAGGTCCTGTAACAACACAGAGTCCTAGACCACAATCTAAGACCACTGTCATCGCTGCAGTTATGGGCTGTTTCATCTTCATCATCATCATCATCATGATAATCATTTACAAAAAGACACCAAACTACAGCAAACCTTGTGCATTCCAGAGGAGGATATTTCAGGGCCATAAACGCGATGATAACAACAGCAGCAATATCCAAGAGCAAAATCCAGATAATGTGATGTAATATCACTGACTCAACATTGAGTTTATTGACTTTAAATGTGAAGATCATGCAAGACATAAGCTTTATAGGAACTCCAGTAAAATATATCTGTATACATTATTTACTATCTGTTACACCTCAAACTACTGAAATATATAACTCTGGTTGAAGGTTTTAAAAATATGTTTTATATGTTTGTTTGTTTTTTGTTAAATTGATTTCTGTGAAATAATGGTACAGTATTGATCTCTTTGATGTGTGTGTGTGTGTGTGTGTGTGTGTGTGTGTGCGTGTGTGCGTGTGTGCGTGTGTGTGTGTGTGTGTGAACATTAATGCAACAAATCCCAAACTGTGTTTGGTTTTGCCCTTTTGTAAAATTTGACTTTTAATATTCTCTGTACCTGCTATTTTCTAATACTTTGAGCTGTGTACTTTTTATAAATAATAAAAAACTCTCTAAAGATGAATATCTGGAAAGTTTGTTTATCATCACATGTTGATGGATAAGTAACAGTATACCAGTAAAACTAGTGGGTGAAGGGTGGCTGCACAGAGATGATCTGAATCAAGTCACCTTTATTTATATAGTGCCTTTTACAATACAGATTGTTCCAAAGCAGCTTTACAGCGATAACAGGACAATAATCCAACAACGTTTGTTTCTGTTGTACAGTAGATCTAGAAGAAAGTCATTGTCCAGCTTAAGAAAGTTCAGGTTTGATTAATTTCCATTGTATGAACTTTCTGTGCAGTAAATCTTTAGATATTCAGATTTAGAGATTTTAGAATTCATCAGAGATTTGAAGGTACAATGATTTTAGATTTTACTTTAAAATGAAAGTTTAGATCAACCTTGAGATTAGTTTTCTGAAATATGAGCAATGAATTACATTTGTGAATTTGTCCGATGTTTTTATCCAAAAGCGCCACACAATCAAGGTTTACATTCGATCAGTTCATGCATTCCCCAAGAATCGAACCCATGACCTTATCTAACCTTTACTGCCATATCCTCTTCTTCTTTTTTTTTATTTAACAGTCAGACACACATACAAACCAACATAGTGCAGTAGTGAACAATCTTGTAAATCCATAATTCCAGCAGTGACAAGAGTGATTTAAGTGTTTAAAGTGTGTATGTGAGCGGGTGTGAGTGTGGGTATGTGTATGTGTGTGTATGTGTAAACAAAGTAGCCATTTATGATTTATTACCATTGTCATTACCATCACCATCCCACTCCCAGAAGTTTTTATAAGGGCTCTTATTTTGTTACCCTGGGGAGAGCCTGCCCCATTCCCTACTAAGACCACCAGATGATCTTTTAAGTCTCCCTTATGGAGTCATCTCACTCGAGGCACAAAATTGTGACTTGTATTGTTTGTAATGATGGAAAATGCTGAAGATAAACTGCATGCATTCCTTCTTTGACACATGGTTTAACGACTTCATTTGGTGATGCAATCTATTAATAACCTGTTTTCCTTTAATGAGGGATAGATTGACAAGTTCTTTATAGTTGGATAAGGGTTTTACAAAGAAGAAAAATCTCCCTGTTGTGTTTGTTCAGGTGTGCAATAGTAAAGGGAAACAACCTTGATTCTTTGAATGCTTTCATCCGTATTACAATTATAGCATTGAAGAGTTGAGCAATTATGTCCATGTTATTAAAATCCTTCACATATTCAACCTAGTAACCGATTTATAGTCTATATTCACTGGGAGGATTTGCAGTATTGGAATGTCAGCTGTCTTCAGCATTACATCATGAGGGGAGATTTTACAGCACCGACTGCTCTTTTTACATTTACATTTATTCATTTAGCTGACACTTTTATCCAAAGCGACTTACAATTGCTATAGATGTCAGAGGTCGCACGCCTCTGGAGCAACTAGGGTTTAAGTGTCTTGCTCAGGGACACATTGATGTCTCACAGTGGATTCGATCCTGGGTCTCTCACACCAAAGGCATGTGTCTTATCCACTGCGCCGTCACCACACCCACTTATAAAAGGGAAAGTAAAAGTGTAGCCATTATAAAGCTGTGTGAGCTGTAGAGAGTCAGAGTGAACACACACACGCTGCAGACACACACACCAGAGGTGAGCAATAACTCTCTAAACAGAAACATCTTGATATTTGCTGATACACACACTACGGTCAAATGATGGCAGACTTGTTGTTTTTGGTTGATCTATTCCTAAAGGATTTGATTTAATCCAAGCAAACTTTTGCTGATAAATTCTGAGATTTCTGCTCAACTTTTAGTAAATCGTCTCAATCTACTATTTAATCGCTGGCGCTTCCTTATTAGTCTCGTTGTTTAAGTTTCACTCTTAATGCAATTTTCTGTTAATTTTCTATTGCAGAATGAAAACCATGAATGCTGTGAATGCAGTTCAACTGTTCATTGTAGTTTGGACTTTCACTGCTGTCTGTCAAGCTGACGGTAAGAGAATAAACTTCCTCCTAGAAAGAGTGTGTGCGAATTATAAGAACTCAATTCTAAAATAATGGAAAATGTTTTGTGCATTGCACAATATTCAGTGGAAGTGGAAGTTTTTTTATTATTGTTTAGTTGCTGTATTATATGATATGCATTGTTATTTTTCAGATGAAATGAGTGTAAGCTGTGAGGATGTGACTGGAACTGCGAGTGAAGAAGTAACTTTAACCTGCAGCGTCTCTCTGAAGAAGTCTGGATGCTGCTTTACAGTGTATAAGTTTCTATATCCTGAGAGATATAATGACCCAACAATCTGTAGAGAAAAGGTTCCTCCTAACTCCTGTGAACAGAGAAACAGCTTCACATGCAGATTCACTCCAACTACAGTAATGATGGAGCAATTCAGATTCTTTATCCAAACATATTGTGGAAATAAAATACAAGAATTCGCTGTGAACATAACAGGTACAGGGTTTTAATACTGCTGTTTATAATTCAATAAATGTTTGCAACTGTACTTTATTTTCAATCTACTAACAGTGTTTTAAAATCTGTTAACAGAGACCAGTAAACATGAGGATCCTGGAAAGAAAGAAAGAAATTATGGAGTTCCTGGTAAGAAAGAAAGTATATTCCATTATAATTATTGATTATTGCTCTCCATGTTAATTATTGAACACAGAAAACTGCTCATTAGTCTCTTGTAAGCATATTTAGCACTTTAAATCACCTGTGAATAAATGGTTTTAAACAATGAAACATTTTAAATGTGCTTTTCCAGAAGAATCTGTCGTGGGTCAATCAGAAACATCTAAAAATGAAAAAGTAGGAAGTCGTGGATTTAAAGTTGCAGTCATCGCTGCTGCTGTGAGCTGTTTCATCATCGTCGTTGTGCCAATCATTTACAAAATGAAACAAAACTGCAAACAGAAGAGGAAGTTTCTGGACAACAACCCTGAAAATCATTCAGAAAATATGATCTAATATCACCGACTCAGTGCTACGGAAGCATTGAGTTTCGTTTGCCTTTTAATGTGAAGATCATGAAAGACACACACTTTATAATAACTAGTGAAGTATATATCTGTTAAACCTCAAACTACTGAACTATAACTCTGTTTCTGTTTTATATTGATTTCTGTGAAATATTGGTACAGTAAATTATCGGTCTCTTTGATCAGCGTGTGTGTGGCTTTAATGAAGCCTGTGTGAACATTAAAACGGAAAGCTGCAAAACCTAACTGGGTTTCTGTTTTGCTCTTTTTTTGTTGTGTTTTGTTTGTATATGAATGTTAATTTTGTGTGGTATGTATGTTATTTTTCTACACATTAAATTTTCTAATGATGTAAACGGCGTTGTGTTGCACGTTTTATTGTTTTAAAAAGCAATGGAATTAGGAAATGTTTGTTTTTCTCTCTGAAGATGAATTTCTGGAACCTCATGGACAAGTTATAGTGAGTGTTTGAGATTCATTTTCTGAGAAATTATTACTGTTCTGAGAAAGTGAGAAAAAGTGAAAGTAATTTTTTAACTAATGTAACTGTTGCATTATAGCAGAGTTTTTATATATATATATATATATGAAACTATGCTTTGATTTAAGCAGAACCTGCATGTACCTGTTCTGCTTTCACTTCTCACAAAACTGAAAGAGTGAAAATGAAGGAAACACTGAGTTGTTTTGTTTACTTTTTTATTTCTTTGACGTTTCTTTATTCTTTCCCTTTGTTCCTGGTCTTTCGTACAGTATGTGATTCGATTGTTCAATTCAATTCAATTGATCAACTCCTGCACAACCTTTAGTCTAATAAACATTGACACCTAGTCGACCGTTCTCTGAGATTTGTTTTCATGATAATTGAATGTAAAGAGTTTTATCTCTAAAAACTGTTTAGCGTAGGCTATAACGCTAGTATCTGTGGCATAGAATAATGAAAAATAAAAAAAAATAAAAATCGCTAGTTAATACCACCAACAAGGCTCAAAATGGCCCCACACTAACACAGTAACATAATGAGGGTCCCTACATGCAAAATGAAGCATTGATAAGTTGAACTTTGTAACTGTAGCCTACTACAGATAGTTTAATAAAAAGATCTAGCGTTCGTGGTTCGACTTATCGAGACTGTTTTCCAAGATGGCTCCTGCCTGAATACATGAAGTGGACTGCATAGATATCTATGGTGGACTGTCTTTATAAAGTATCTTCTTATTGAACTTTTTTAATTAAACCTCATTTTAAAGGTGTATAATATGCACTGACGCCAAGACAGTTTTAAAATCTATGATTATCAATATCGTAGCTAATTATGATTAGGCGTTTATTTATAGACTGATATTCCCTGTCGAGTGTCGAGTGATGCTGAAGGAACGCGTGCAAGAGAACGAATGGGAAAAAATGGACGAGACAGAAATATTTTATTTATTAACATGTAATGAGAATTAGCCATTTTAAATGCATATTTATTACAACGAAAGTAACGTTACCTAAAGAATCATGGGAAGCACCTTGCTCGAGGCACAATTACTGGGGTATTGTAGTAATCTTTGTGATGATGGAAAATTTTGTGCAAACTGCATTAAGACTTGAACCTGTTTAACGACATGGATGTAAGTTAGAGGTGATGCAATCTATAAACCGCCTGGAGTTTACCTTTGAGAGGTTTCATGGGTGGTGTGTGTTATCGTGCGTTTAAACTGAGGTGACTGAGTTAGAATGAACACACACGCTGAAGACAGACCAGATCGAGGTAAGAAATTACTCTCTCTCAACAGGAAAATATCCTGTTTTATATTTACGAATCTATAACCAGAAAACCGTGATGTCATCGTTCAGCTTAGTTCAGTTCTCATATAATGGTGTCAATGGAGGCAGATCGATATTGTTGAATATTAAATTAAATATTGTTGTATTTTACACTCACGATCTCTTCAACACAAAATAATTCAGGTATGATTCGTTATGTTGTGTTAAAACTGTTTCAGTGTGACATATTGAAGTTAATTTTTTCAACTAAAGTGTTTTTTTTTTTTTTTTTACTGTGCATTTATCATATTCTGTATTTTACCAAATATAATTCTAAAGATGCAAAATAAAATATAGGTGTTTTTTTTTTAACTTGAAGGGTAATTAATTAAAGAAAAAAATGCCATCCTTTAATCACTGACATATAATTAACTACTTTAAATCACCCTAAGGTCTGCATAGCTCGTACACTGTATACTTTTTCATTAGTCTTAGTTTTCCTTCTGATGCCATTTTTTCCTATTGCAGAATCAAAACCATGAATGCTGTAAATCCAGTTCAACTCATAATTCTGCTTTGGACTTTCACTGCTCTCTGCCAAGCTGACGGTAAGAGAATAAACTTTCCCTAAACTATTAACAGAGATTAAATTCTATTAAAAATCTTGTGTACAAAATAACATAGTGGTTTTATTTATGAGTATGTTCTTTAATGAAGAAGACACAGTGTTTATTATTGATACAGAGACACAAGAAGTCAGATATACAAAATGTTCAGTGAAATGTTTAAAAAAAACAGATTTCTATTATTGTTCAGTTGCTGTATTATATATGATATGCATTGTTATTTTTCAGATGAAATGAGTGTAAACTGTGAGGATGTGACTGGAACTGTGAGTGAAGAAGTAACTTTAACCTGCGGCATCTCTCTGAAGAAGACTCTGAAGTGCTCTGAACACTGCATTAAATTGTATAAGTTTCAATATACTGAGAAATATAATGACTCTGAAATCTGTAGAGAAGAGTTTTCTCCTGGCTCCTGTGAACAGAGAAACAGCTTCACATGCAGATTCACTCCAACTACAGTAATGACGGGACAATTCAGATTCTTCATCACGACAGAGTGTGGATGGAAAGTAACTGAATTCACTGTGAACATAACAGGTACAGGGTTTTAATACTGCTATAATTCAATACATGTTTGCAACTGTACTTTATTTTCAATCTACTAACAGTGTTTTAAAATCTGTTAACAGAGACCAGTAAACATGAACCTGTCACTGAGGATCCTGGTAAGAAATTTAGTACATTCCAAATATTACAAATATATTACATTACGTTCCAGTCATTAATTCTGATTGGTCTGATTCACGATAAAACACGGCTACGACTGTTTTACTCATCGGTTCTATGTATCACTACACAACACCCATCAGCTCTTAGCAACTTAAACGTAATAGTTCTCTATGATAAGATTGTGGAGTATTGTGAGAGATCCAGTAAGCGAGTGCACCTGCATTTACAGTAGGCCTAGATATTGCTTTTTCATTCGGGTCAGTCCTATATTTAAAAAAAAAAAAAAATCAGTTTGAATGTCAGCTGCGAGATAAGTTATTTTCCAAAATCGTTTCAGTGGTTCATTAAGTCGTAACATATCGTTATGTAATATTGCCGGATCGAGTCTCGTTTCTGTAGTTCTAATGAGACATAAGAAAACTACAAATTTGACTTGCTTTACGTCAAGCGTGACAAGAGTCATTACTTTGTTTTTCTTTGTTTCTGATGTCGTAATACATCATACTTTCATGAAATCATGCAACATACTCTACCTTGTCTCTGAACATTGTTCATTTCAACACCGGTGCTGATAAACAGTGACTGTGTGTGCGACAGTGGGATGCGGTAGGATAGATTATTTACGACAGCGGTAATGGACAATTCCTCTTCCAACCTGTAGGGCGACCGCTGAGGAAAAGTTACTTGGTGTTGCTTAAACCCCAGTGTCTCTGGATTGGTTTTGTTCCTTATGGGTGTTTTGTAGGCATATTCCCTCCTGTCTGGATTACCTTGTTCATAGCCTGGATTTATTTCTGTTGTCTTATGTCAGATCTTTGATAGGCTGAGTTTATGAGTTAAATAATCATTTAAACAGTTTAAATGCACTTTTCCAGAGCCAACATTAAGAGCAGGAGACGGTCCTGAATCAACAACAGGAGAAAATGCAACTATCATAGGTTCAGTTGTGGGCTGTTTCATCATCATCATCATTACAATGACAATCATTTGCAAAAGGACATCAATTGACCTATCCCGAGTCCGGCGGATTCCAGTGTGTCTGGGCCTCAGACATAATGACGAAAACAGCAGATATCCATAAAAAGTGATCTAATACCACTGCCTGCATTACGAAAGTGTTGAATTTGACTTTGACAAAAACTTTATAATTCCAGTAAACCATATCTGTACATAGAGTACCATCTGTCATACCTCAAACAAACTACTGAACTATATAACTCTGGTTAAAGGTTTTAAAACTCTGTTTCTGTTCTATATTGATTTCTGTGAAATAATAGCATATTATTACTACTGCTTTAATATCATTTACTTTAATGATATTAAAGCAGTAGTTCACTTTTGAAAAAAACTTTTGCTGATAATTTACTCACCAACATGTCATCGAAGATGTCCATGTCTTTCTTTCTTCAGTCGAAAAGAAATTAAGGTTTTTGATGAAAACATTCCAGGATTTTCTCCATATAATGGACTTCATTGGGAAATTATATCATTATAATTATAATCATTATAATCATTATAAGCTCAAATGGTCTCCTGTTCTGTGTGACTCTCCTGTTTGAACTTGTTCATCAAAATGAACAAATCTTTTTCTGAGTCAATTTGTTCGTTGAATAAAAACAAATGACTCGGAAAAGATTCGTTCATTTTGATGAACGAGTTTAAACAGGAGAGTCACGAACAAAGCAAGGTGAGCATTTGTGTTTATAAAACTTAAACTTTGTTATTTATTTATTAAATGACCGATGGTTTCGCTTGATGAGATCCTTATTCATCGTCTGAAATTGTTTAAAGCCCTTTGAACAGTTTACAGTTTGCACTGAAACTCTCTTTTGGACCTTGAGCCGTTTGGTCCCCATTGAAGTCCATTATATTTAGAGAAATCCTGGAATGTTTTTATCAAAAACCTTCATTTCTTTTCGACTGAAGAAAGAAAGACATGGACATCTTGGATGACATGGGGGTGAGTAAATTATCAGCAAAAGTTTTGTTTAAAAGTGAACTACTCCATTAAGGCTGGGTGAACACCAAGATATGAGTGAAACCCAAACTGTGTTTGGTGTTGCTCTTTTTTACTGATTTTTTAAGGAATGTCTGTTATAAATGTCATGTTTGTATTGTTTGGTATGTAGATCTAAAAAACTTATTTTGCTTTCCCCATGAAAAGAGACACCAGTGATTTTGCCAAGAGATCTCTCGAATTTATTTATAATATTTATAAGACATAGGAGGAAGAGAAACAGAGGTCTTCATTCTGCATCGTTATCATCTCTTCCTGCTTTTCAGACAAAAGGGAAAAAAGTTTAAAAATACTACTGACCAAGGAAAAAACTGCATCACCATAGTAACACATGCATGACCACAAGAACATGTGATTCCCATTAACAATGGAATGTCCATTCCTATAAACTGCATAAACTTTCAGTCTCACTCCAACATACATTCACTCATACAGGTTAACTTATCCCAAAGTCTCCTAACGTCTCTCTCTCTCCCACATCTTCAAAACGTTATAATCACAAAATGCAAAGATTACAAATGATAATGTGTGTATACATATAATAACAGATACATATTATGAATATTAATAAAAATAATAATAGCACTAAAAACAACATTAAATGAAGAGATTTTGAATCTTCAGGTATAACTATAGAGCTTAAAGGGTTAGTTCACCCAAAAATTTAAATTATGTCAGTATTTACTCTCATGTTGTTCCAACCCCGTCAGACCTTCGTTCATCTTCTGAACAGAAATTAAGATATTTTTGATGAAATCTGAGAGCTGGATCACTCCTGCATACTAGTCCATAGGCTTCTTGAGGAATTGAAACTTGCCGGCCTCGAAAAGTTATTAAAGACATCGTTAAAATAGTCCAAGTGACTTCAGTGGCTCAATCTTAACTTTATCAAGTGGCGAGAATACTTTTTGTGCACAAAAACAAACAAAAAATATTTTTTTTATTTTAAAGCCTTGCTCAAGATCATTTTCTGCCGGTATAGAGAATCAAACCATCAACCTTCGGGTGACCAGTCTGACTCAGTAAACACTATAGACCACGACTGCATCTTTAAATGCATGTTTAAAGTTTCCCTAAAGCATAGGTAGTACTTCACTTGAGGAACTATGGAGGTGGCTTGTATTGTTTGTAATGATGGAACATATAATACAAACTGTACACTGTAAAAAATGATCGTGATTTTAACAGTTAAAGAGTGTAAAAATGCTACAGTGAAAAACTGTTAATTGGTTAACAGAACGTTTCCTTACTATATACGATAAATAACTTTGATATATATAACGGTAAATTTAATGTAATTTTACTATAAAATAGTGTTAAATTTACAGTTTTTGGAAGTGGGAAAAAAACAAGTCATTGTATATACACAGTGAAGAAAATGTAAATTCCCACAATTCCCTGCGTGACACTTCACATTTAATACTGTATATTTGAACTGTTTCTTCATAATTTTTTTGTTTTTTTTTTCTAATCAGTTTTTAGGGTTTTATGTTGCATTTAATGTTGTTAAAGTAATGCTTATTGCATTTTTAAAATTTCAACATGTTACCATGATGGTGTTTACAGTAATGTTTGTGTGAATGACACTGTGCAGCTTCTTTATATTAGTATTTACATACTTAAGGAATAGCTACTTGTGAAGAGCTTTGATTGATCGTTTGACTCTCATTACTGCTGTGATTGATGGCTGTCAGTGTATTACAATTGAACAAAACAGATATTAAGACTTCAAAAGGTCAGTAAAGTAACATTATATCAGATAATGAATTACGGTTTATTGCTGTAAAATTAAATACGGTTAAAAGTCTGTTAAACCTAAAATGTTGCTACCGTATTTTTAACAGGAAAACCCTGGTAGCCAGTTTTTTTTTTTACTGTGTATTCACACTTTGACGCATGATTTAATGACTCAGTGTGCATATAGAGGTGATGCAATCCATAAACCACCCGTTTACCTTTGATTTTAGAGTAGCAGGTGCTGTCATTTCACGGCTGTAAAATCACTGGTACATCAAACGATCAGGCCATGATTTTCTGTACATGGTGTAAGTGATGTAGATTTAAGTCTTAGAAAATGCATTCAATTTTCACAAAAAAAAAAATGTCTTGGATAATATGTATTCACATCAAAAAGTCATCAGCTGGATTTTTGAAGTTCAAAACAAAAACTATATTTTCCAGTTTGAACCACAGACATCAAAGCAGAGAACAGATGGACCCTCAAGCATCACCATGTGGTTTGAGTATCAATCAAAAGCCCCAATATCACTCTCATAGGCTGAACTTGTAGGCCTATTTTATGGTTTAAAAAGATTAAATGCACATTTCCAGAGAAATTAAGCCTGGAACATCATCAAGAACATTTTCTCAACCGTCAACAGAAGACGGTTATGTTGCTTTCTAAACGTCACCATCCAGACCCTTCTCTGCTCCTCTCAGGTGACGAGCTGCAAAACATCCACCTATATGATTATTGTTGGTATGATAAATTGCTTTTGTTCCTCTATTTTAAGTCAATTTGGATAAAAGTGTCTGTAATGTTATTTCTTCTCATGTTTTATGTTTGTTGTGCAGGATAATCTTTGACCAATGTTTTCTTTTTTTTGGCTGATGCTTGTGATTTTGAACTTAAGTCTGTTGTTTTGACCAGTTTGGTGTCGGTAATTTGGGTGCCTCGGACTATAAACACATCTCACTCTGACTTTGATTATTTTTAGCTCAACCAAGTTTGTCCCGATGCCAGGAATTTGAGCCCAGTAGGAGGACTGGAAAAGTGTGGGCGAGACCCATTCTACTATTAAAAAGTAAGGATTCCAAAGAGATTAGCTAGATAATGTTTATTACAGTGAAAGTTTCCCTAAAGTATCCATGGCCATGGGAAGTCCCTCAAGGGTCGTGCGGCCTGGGTAGGCAGTTCCTCACCAAAGGAAATGTTGACATTACATTAATTAATTCCTAGAACTTTATTAATTCACCACATTATTAATTGCAATTATTTTATTCCAAATATTTTTGTTTAAAAAAAAATTGCACATATGATATACATCCTTTGCCATGGTTTGTTCCTAAAAACTATTGTTTCATGCAGGAAATTCAAGGCCAAGGCCATTAAGGTTAGCATTGCTTCTTTGGTCCATAGAACGTAGTTTACTTAGATTTGCGCATGCGCAGTTCTCATGCTGTCTTGAATTATAAACATTGAGGTAGATACCGAAATTGGTTCATCTCACGTGATCCACTCGCTCTTCCTCACTCAGTCCGCGCTTCCGACTGTGCTCTGTATGCAGGCAGCAGCGATGTGATGATGCCTGATATGAACTTGGGTTGCTATTAACTGAATGAATATACAGTGGCATAACTATAACTTTGTTTTAAAAACTGGGTGGGAAAGGTCAGGTGCGTGTGCATATGTGTAAAAAAAAGAATGAATCACATGAATAAATACATCTACTACAAATTAATTCGAACTCGTTCATCAAAATGAACGAATCTTTTTCCGAGTCATTTGGTTCATTCAACGAACGAACTGACTCGGAAAAAGATTCGTACATTTTGATGAAGGAGTTCTAACTGGAGAGTCACGAACCTGCATCACAGAACAGAGCAAGGCGAGCAATTTGAGCTTATAAAACTTAAACTTTGTTATTTATGTTTTAAATGAGCGATCGTTTCGCTTGATAAGACCCTTATTCGTCGTCTGGAAACGTTTAAACCCCTTTGAACAGTTTGCAGTTTGTACTGAAAGTTTCTTTTGGACCTTGAACCGTTTGGTTCCCAGTAAAGTGCATTAGCCTATATGGAGAAAAATCCTGGAATGTTTTCATCCAAAACCTTAATTTCTTTTCGACTAAAGAAAGAAAGACATGGACATCTTGGATGACATGAGGGATTAAATTATCAGCAAAAGTTTTTTCAAAAGTGAACTACTCCTTTAACAGCACTAAAAATGATTAAAAATGTTTTGATGTTCCTTTGCAACAATCAGAGAGACGATGCAGCTCTGTCTATCGGTATCTTCAATTGCAACATTACGCCATGAAGGGGAGATTTGCCGGTCAGTGAGTGACAGCACCACCTGCTGGCCGAACATTTGGAAATGCCCCGAGCAACGAGTCATTTCGAATGTGAATGCAAAAATGTAGCTAGTAGCCTTTAAGAAATGTGAGCTGTAGACTAGAGAGAGTCAGAGTGAATGAACTCCTTCACACACACGCTGCAGACACAGA